GGCCTCCCAGTGATTTAAAAAAAACAATAAAAACTAAAGCTTTAAAATCACTTTAAGGCTTGTTCACACCGAAAGCGTGTGCATTCCAGAGCGGTAGCTGCTGGAACGCACCACGATTGCTAAGCCCTATTGTTTGCGTTTGCAGTGGAACGGAACGCTGGCAAAGTTTTGCCACGTGTCCTTTCGCACTGCTTCGTGGAAGCGGTGCCATTGAATTCAATGCACCGCCACACCCCCTCCCGCCCCAGAAGGCGGGGGAACTTTCTTAGTGATCGCGGTGCATTCCAGCAGCTACCGCTCTTGAACGCACACGCTTTCGGTGTGAACAAGCCCTCAAAGTGACACTAAAATCAGGAGTTAAATCATAAATATGCCCTCAAGTACCTTAGCCATTAACAATACTGGACTTTATTTGTGTATCGGCTGTAGATCCTCAAATCATCTCTGAATTGGTGCCGACACGGTCCTTCCGGGGGGTGGCTACTTTTTTTCCCCATGGTCCCTGTGTGTGTTGTAAAGTAGCCACACCTCCAAGCTTGATCCTGTGAGGGTGGGTGGCTACTTTTGTGATAGACTACAATCTCATGTTTAGTTTAATAATTTGTATTGAAGTTATTGTCCATCACAGGAGTGAACTTGGAGCGGTGGCTACTTTACAACACACACAGGGACCATCGGGAACAACAGTAGCCACCCTCTAGGAGGAAGAACAGTGTCAGCACCCATTCAGAGAGGATTTGAGCACCTACAGCTGAGTGATACACAAAGAGGGTAGTGTTGTCAATAGTTAAGGTATTTGAATGCATTTTTAAGATTTAACTCCTGAGTTTAGTGTCACTTTAATTATGTGCAATAGACAGCACAAACAATCCAGCCCTCACACATGCAAGGCCTCTTTTTAAAGTGTGAAGTTGGTTAAATTAATTAACCTTTATTCTCTTCCAATAAAGCATCCAAACAAACACAGGATAAATCCCATTTCTTATTGAATTCCATGTGGATGTCAGAAATGAACATAATTTAGTTTATGCTTTAGTAAATCAGGTCCACTGATATATGTGGCTCACAATCAATAAACAGGATTGTTTTATGTAAACCACAATAGAGTATGGCTTTTATGCACAAAAGTTCATCAGGCACACTGGTATACTGGTATCCATCAAATCCAATGGCTCTGCCATGTGAAAATCCTTGATTCAGGTGGCTGTTTCTAAAGTCACCACAATGAAAAGACACCATACATCACATTTGCAAACAAGTCGTCTTCTATACCAACATGTGTTACTCACCCATTGTCAGAGGTAAAGATGAAGAGTGTGTTGTTTTGAATTCCCAAATCCCACACCGTCTTTATCAGATCTCCTACTGTTCCATCAAATTCCAGCAATGCATCTCCATACTTTCCTCTTATAGATTGTCCTGTATAGCGAGCACTTGCAAACTGTGGATAATGAGTGTGCTGTGGAAAATAGAACAAAGTTCCAGTGCCTAGGCTGAAGAGCTCTTATCATGGAAAATATTACAGTCCTATTGTTGTCATGTTCACCCAGTGGGTGTAAAAGTACATTTATCTAACAGACAAGAATATTTGTTCATAAACAAAAATATGCAAGGCGAAGAATGTAATTTGAAAAAAAGAAAAAACATGCAATCAAACTTAAAAGAGGCTTTAATATGTCGAGCGAACATTTTGGTTTTGTCCCATTAGCATCCTGCCATGCCTATTCATGTTTCTGGGTCTCTACATTTGTGTGTCAATTATTTGCCACAATAGGAAACCCGACAGACAGTCTGTGTAAGCACATAAAATTATAAT